CTGTTTTGCATCCTAGCTACCTACACATGTCGTCTCCTCTCAACTACCGACTCGTAATCACCATTCTTATAGATCAAGCTTAGAAATAACCACCGGAGCAGGTCATATTTACACATCGAAAGTGATACCCTAACGCGGTTACAAGTACGAACTTAGGTTTCGAATGGCGCGATTTCTGGTTTCTCCCGAGATCTACCTAGCTATGTCTGCTCCCCCTTCGCTACACACCTACGTTCCTGGACTTCACAATAAGCTTGTCTAAGTATGGAAGTAACTTGCGAACCGCAACTAGCCGTGTACTTGGCACATATTCAAACGGCTATAGGACGGCAGGAATCCTTTGGTTTTGTCAGACAGTGACAAATGGAACAGAATAGACAGTCTGCGAGCCAGGCTATTGATGTTTCCTCTTGCTATCTTTTCAATATCACACAAGGCTACCACAGTCAGATTTAGGTCTTAGGTTAAGTCTAGGACATCATAACGTACGGGTCGGCCCTTTATTGGATTCAGCTAAGGTATCTATTTTAGGCAGCCAAATGAAGCTGTGATAAATATGACGATGGGTGGTCGTTTGCAGGACCTTCAGCATTCAGCTAGCCGGCTATCCTGCGTAATCACGCTTGTTTCGCACTTCATTTCCATCTCTTGAGTATCATACGAGTCGCTTATTCAGTATACGCGGCAATATAATCCAATCCCCGGCTTCCAGCCGCATAATACCGTATTCGGGCTCGTTCGTAGCCAGTTAGTACGATTCAAACACCGGCATCAGACGTGGGCATAACAAGCCACTTCTCGGTTCTCTCCTGATCTGCTACGCCCGCATTGGTCGATCTAGATTTCCTGTCAACCGGCGAACCTGTCAACATAAGTACAATCAATGCAGTATCAGCCGCAATGCAACTCCGTGGCTGGGGGCAAGAGGGGACGCAAAACGCGGCAAGCAAAGCCAAAGCTTCAACGTGCGTTCCGTCAGCCTCCTTTTCGGCGGCCCCCACCCTACATCATCGGTCTCGGTGTATAACGGTTTGCCTCCCTAGAGGCCGAGTCCACACGCTCCCGGTAGCCACACCGAGATCATCGCCATGCATGCTACCTTATCTTTTGTTTGGCATTTACTTTCCAACCGCAGAGCCTCATAATCCTACCCTTCTGGCACACACACACCTCCTATGCCATGCAAGGCAGGTCCCGCAGATAGCGCCTGATACAATAATTCGGAAAGGAGAACCGCACCGTATGCTGGGTGCCAATACATATCGGCCGAAAACAGTGCGCATACTAAATTGTCATTATTACCTCTTACAATCATCAAATTTCTCCGTAGAGTATATACACAGCTCATCACATAGACCTCGACCATATTTCGCCCGTCTCATAACACCCATCCCCCCCTTTCCTCTTCCCTGCTTCATGTACCATATCCAATATATATGTCAATAAAACTAGCCCGCCTGCCAATGCGTATATGCAAAACGCTCATCGTTACAACTAATCTTATGCGCACAAGATAATGTTTGCGCTCCGGCTTCTCTAGGGACCGAAAGAAACGCCACCGGATGCGGGATACCAGCGGCTAATCCTTCCTTCTCGGCTTCTGTGCGCCACTCTCTCTCCCTCCCTTTAGCCCGTTTGTGAAACCCAGCCTGACAGCATAGCTGACTTTAGCTTGCTTACTTTCTTGTTTACCTGCCTTCGATCTTAGTACGCACCGTGCTTGGATCTCCTCTGCATCACTAGGAGGCACTGGTAAGCTGTTGTGATTGGCGAGCCGTCTGTCTATAGATTAGGTACTCGGCCTTAGCTTAATTTGCCATTCCACAATAATGAGTAAAGATGCATGGAGATTAGGCAGAGACGGTTGAGATGCCGAGCCTTAAAACACACACCGGTCCAGACGCCCCAGACGCCAACCCCCACGCAAAGCAAACAGCAAATAAATAGATAAAAAAAAAAAACCCGGAGCAGAATAAATAACACAACCTAAATTTGACGGCGATCGGCAATCAAAAACTCTCGCTTAGATCTGAGAAGTCGGGCACGTCTGCATCGCAGTTGAAGTCCTTATCATACGCCTTGCCAGGCAGGATACCGGCAGCAAGGCCCTTCTTGTAACTCCACTGAGGCGCACTCTCCGTGTCCCAAGTCCAGTACCACCAGCCGTAGCCTTTCTCAAAGCTGGTCATCTGGGCTTCGGCAAACATCTTGAGGAATTTCTTGTACGAAGCCGAGTAGGAACCCGGGTCGGCGTTGGCACCATCGCACGTACAAGAGGCGTCTTCAGTTGGGCACCTCGGCGTTAGGGCCTCGGTCGACGCGTTGCCCGAGTCGTACGTGCCCGTCCATCGGTTTCCCCAGCCCACGTTGGTCAGGTACTTGGCACAGTCAGTGTCGGCCTGCGACCACTCAGCGAACATGGTGGGGCCGAAGCCGGTGGATGTGTCCATGCTCTGCTGCGTCTGCTGCGTCCACCCGTCGCAGGCGTACTGCACCTTCTTCTGATGCGAGTAGACGATCTGGTCGTTGTTGAAGATGACATACTGGTGCACGTCAAGCACTAGCCCGTTCATACCTGTTAGCTTGCCCTGCCAGTTGCCTAGTCCCATGAAGCCATCTCCGAACACAACGTTGGCTTGTATGCCGTTCTTGCGTACGAGGTTGTAAGCCTCTGATGTCCAGGAGATGACGGCGTCTGCAGAAAGGGACACCATGCGCGGCTCGTTCGCTAGGCCGTAAAACGTGATGATGTTCTTGTAGCGGTCCTGCGCGAAGAACTTGGTCAGACGATCGTGTACGTCGAGCGATCGCTGTGAATTTAGGTTGCCGTCGGTGCCGTTGAGCCAATTGACTACACCTTGCCTTCCACTGTGGTTCCAGCCATTCTGGCTGCCAGGCAAAGCATGAAGGTCTAAGTTCACTCGTAGCCCGTACTTACGCGCCCACTCGATGGCGCGCAGGAGATAACGCCACGAGGTGCGGAAAACATATGGGTCATCGTCGTACGTCTGCACGGCCCAGTAGCTGTAGGGGATTCTGACGTGATCTAAACCTGCCGCCTGTATTTCCTGGAAGGTCTGTTCCGTCACAAATGTGGCGTAGTGCTTTTCAAGAGTCGAAGCTGCTGTTTTGGGACCGAGATGCTTGCAGAGGGTCCATTCGTCGATGATGCCCAATCTGCTGTCATAGTTGAATAGCGAAGGCGTAATGAAAGGCTCAATCGAGAGCCAGCCACCTAGATTGACACCGCGTGCTGGTGTTTTCGCGTAGTCGCCCCAGGACTTCTCAATAGCCGGGACCTTGTCGTTGGCAGACTTGGAGTCGTCCCAATCCATAAAAAGTCCCATAACCGGCAGGTCACCCACCGTTTCGTTGGTATAGGTTACATTAAGGTCTGTCGTCTCGTACCATGTAAAAGGGTCCAGATACGTTCCCCGGGCGGCTGGGGGGACGCTGTTTGGTGAGATATCGTTGAGACTGGACTTGTGCGAGCCAGAGTCGTCGGCCTGGTTCTTCTTGCTCACGACGACTGCTACCACTATGATAATGATGAGTATAACAAGCGCAACGCCTGCTATGATCCCTATTGGAAATGTTAATAACGTGCCTTGTCGACACTGGGCCTTTTAAACCTACATCGTTTCTTCTTTCTGACGGTTCCTGGTATGTTCCATTGCATGCCCGCTTTCTCCTTTGCGATGCTGTCGTAGCTGTCATAGCTGCTATGTTTACTCGCGGCGCCGCCCCTCATTCGCGAGGTTGCCCTCCCCTCCTCTACGATAGCTCCGCTGACTACTCTTCGGTCCTTTTTGCGATGTCTTCGCTCCTTGTCTCTTGGTATAACTTCTTCGTCCTCGGTCTCTATGTCGCGATGCCGTCGCCGATGCCGTCGATCCTCTATACCCTGAGATTCGTATCCTCTTTCGCGAACTCTTTCCCCGTCTCGGTATTCTCTTGTCCGCCGTCGTTCCCTTCTAGGTGACTCATACTCTCCTTCGGAATGCGCATGGTCGCCCCTCGAGCGCCGCGCTCTCCTGGGTGACTCGTATTCAACGTCGACAGCCTTATACTCTTCTCTTCGGGGCCGATCTCTTTTCGGTTTACGCTCCCGTTCCTTTGGCGGTTCCCCCGCAGGCTCGACCGAGTTATACTCATTCAATTGAGCAAGTGCGCCCATAGAAAGCCTTCGAGCCGTACCCCGTGATGTCTCCTCCGGACCCGATGTAGGCCTCTTTGAGCCATGTTCTCTGGACCTCCGTTTTTTATGTCGTTTATGATGCGCATCGAGATCCCTACGCCGGTGGCCGTCCGATTCCACCTCGTCATGCGCCATGGGTATAAAGAATGAGAAACTTAAGACTACAATATAGATATGGGATACATTCACAGGCACGCAAGGAGTGTCTCAATTTTTAGAGTAGGTAGATAGGTATACAGGTCCTTTGGGGAAAGTATCTGCAATATTAATTTATGAATTGCGTCAAGTTCCTTGGAATAAACCGTTTGAGCTTGCGTGGCCTAGAGGTTCGTGTAATTCAACGGCGAATCTGTAGTTGACCGGGCAACTATCTCTTCCAAGTTATAATCCTTGCAAAGGTTGGACGATATGTACCTATGTACATATGAGAGATGTTGTCTCCAATTGCATTGCGGATTGCGGATTGCGGATTGCGGATAGGCCAAGACTTTTCGACACCCAGCAGACTGGGCCATGACGGTACGTAAGAGGTACGCAGGTACAAAACAGACTGGCAGACTGGAGCTAGTACATACATATGTACATATTGTACAACTAGCGGGGCTTCTGGGGTTTTAGTTCAATTCGAGATTCCCTAAACCGAATGCCGCAACTAAGCGACGTCGGTTCTCAACTTCTCCATGCTTATGACGGCCTCGGTTGACTTGACCGGTTTCTCATAATTCCGCTTCTGCTTCCCAGAACGATTTCGATCCATAGCCAGACATGAATTCGCACAGGTAGCAGGTAGCACCATAAAAAAATGAAGAATTGTATTTCGCTTCGTCCACTTGCGAGAGCGTCTACGCCTATCAATAATAGGCTGTATAAGTGCAGGCGACCGGTTGTATGCTCATCACGATGTCGAAACTACTCTACGCATCCGCCGAATGCGAGACTCAACCTACCACCTGACTACTCAACTACGCCACTACTAGCACACAGCTCTCAGGCGGCACTTTCTAACCCAGAGTTACCGCCTGAAGCTAGAAATGGTACGGCAAAACGTATGAATCTATTCCAGGCCATAAACGATGCCTTGTCGATAGCGCTTGCCGAAGATGAGAACGTTCTGGTATTTGGCGAAGACGTATCCTTTGGTGGCGTGTTCCGTTGTACGATGAAGCTTGCCGAGAATTTTGGAGGAGCTCGCGTCTTCAATACACCTCTGACGGAGCAAGGCATCGTGGGATTCGGCATCGGGTTAGCCGCCGAGGGTATGCGACCAGTAGCCGAAATCCAGTTCGCTGATTACGTCTACCCTGCATTCGACCAATTAGTAAACGAGGCCGCGAAATATAGATACCGCGAAGGGGGAACCGGAAGAAGTGCGGGCGGCCTGACGGTGCGAATGCCGTGCGGAGGCGTCGGCCACGGAGGATTGTACCATTCACAGTCACCCGAGAGCCTCTTCACTCATATTCCTGGTTTAAGAGTGATAATACCGAGATCTCCACTACAGGCCAAGGGGCTGTTGCTTTCTGCTATTAGGAGTAATGACCCGTGCGTTTTCCTAGAACCCAAAATCCTATACCGAGCGGCCGTCGAACAAGTGCCGACAAATCCATATACCTTACCCCTCTCCAAGGCAGAGATACTTAAGGAGGGCAAGGACGTTACTATTATCTCATACGGACAGCCACTATATACATGTAATGCTGCCATTCAAAAGGCAGAAGAAGACTTGGGAATTTCGATAGAACTCATCGACCTGCGAACCGTATATCCTTGGGACAAAGAGTGCGTCTTCGAGAGCGTGCGGAAGACGGGGAGGTGCATGGTGGTCCACGAATCCATGGTAAACGCAGGGATAGGGGCCGAGGTGGCCGCGGCGATCCAAGAGGACCCAGACACGTTTATAAGACTGGAAGCTCCGGTGTCGCGAGTGGCAGGATGGGGTATATTCACACCGTTGATGTTTGAGAAGTTCAACATTCCCGACGTAGCTAGTAAGTTTTTGAGGCTCTCGCTGTTATCGAATGGGTAGCGCTAACCAGGGCATAGGAGTATATGACGGCATAAAGAAGCTGTTGGAATATTAAACAGGAACTGTAGATGTTATACCTGTTAAGATTAAAGACATAAGTATCCCTTAAATACCATTATGCATATAAGTTGCGGTCTAGTATATTTGGGTTTTGGATTTTGGGGATGAGGGGAATGAAAATCTTATTAGGAAACTAACTCTATAAACTCGTTAAAAGACTACCTAAGGTTAGGTATATTACAGCTGGGAAATAAAGCTAGAATATTAAACCCCTAACCTAGGTCTTAAAGCCTTCAGATGCTAAAGAAACAATAGAAATTAGTGTAACCTAGATTATGCACTATATTTCGTTATCTTATCGATAAGAATTCTAGCCCCCTCTTAGCTGCCCCGCGCTCCCTTGCGTTTCAATTAGTTTTAATAAGTCGAGACTAAATTGGGGCGACGGAGACGACAACGCTTGTGATACTTTTCCTATTAGTACCTAACCTTAATTTAATCCCTTCTTCGGACTTAAACCCCTTCACAGCAATACAGACCCAAGATGACTACCTCTTTAGAAACAGTCGAGTCCTTTGTAGAGGGTGCACCCCCTGGCGAGGTATGTTCGATAGCTATTTACACAAGTCGGGCATCGCAAGCTGACTTACAGATACCAAACAGCTCGCAGATGTCATAAACGGTACGCCCGAGCTCCTGAAACCATCATGCAACTATGCTACCAGAAGCCGGGTCTAACACTCCATCGTATCTATAGATATCAAAGCCCTGACTTTCAACGAACCCGATATTGTCTCTAGACTGGGACCCGCGTTCGAGAGGTACAACGAGGAGCAGTTCGTCACCGCCAAGCTGCCCGGCAGCAGTCAACAAGTTATCATCAGCTCGCATAGCTCCCTCGGCAACGGGCAATACTACGACGTCGAGAGTTCGTCAAGCTTCACCTTCGACCATGTCACCCAGAAAGCGAGCAACGTTCAGAGCTACGTGCTAGAAGGACCCCAGGCAGATTTAGTGTACGCACGGCCTCCCCAAGCTATAAAAAAAATAGATACGAGACAATGAGAAAGACAATGTGCCCGTGGGTATTGGTATAGAGTGACTGGCTGATAGGCAGCGCATAGGAAGTCGACACTAAAAAGCATCTCGGCATATGTCAAGGAGCACTACCCGAGCGGTTCGTATGGCGTGTACTCGATCGAGGGAGACTCCAAGGTCGCCGTCATAATCGTCGCCAACAAGTACAGTCCGAACAACTACTGGTACGCGGGCCCCTTTCCTCAGCCCCCCCGCCCCCCCAAACACCACCACTAGCAAAGCAATGTAAAGCACACAGCTCACCCATCCGCAGGAACGGCCGCTGGCGCTCCCTCTACATCTTCGACCCTTCGAGCAGCAGCCTCGAGGGCAGCGTCAAAGTCGACGTGCACTACTACGAGGACGGCAACGTACGTCTGCTCACCAACAAGCCCATCGCCGCATCCGTGCCATCAGGCACCGGAGCCGGCATCGCCAAGGAGATCAGCGCCGGCGAGCGCAAGTACCAGGAGGAGCTGAACAGGGGGTTCACGAGCCTGAGCGAGGGCGCCTTCAAGGGCCTGCGGCGACAGTTGCCCGTCACGCGCCAGAAGATCGAATGGGATAAGGTCGCGAGTTACCGTGTCGGACAGGATATCGGAGGGGCTGCTAGAAGATAGTAGCGGCTGGGAGGAAGTGTGCTGCCAGATGTTTTGTTGGTGTGGTGCGGTGTGGAATATTGGTCGACTTTGGTGAGGCCGTAGTGTTGTGTTTGCTTAACCAGCCTGAGTAGGTAATTTAGCTTAGCATATGCTGAACAGGGACGTTTTGATGAATACGAAGGATTAGTAGAGCTTATGTCTCGAATATTTACCCGAGGGAGAAAAGAGCTATTCATTCTACTCCTAGAGGATACCCAAGTAAACTACAGATACTACCATGTCCTAAACTGCTGCGCGCACAGAAGACATCAGGCGGTACCACTCCCTCACTGACGCACGGTTGCCAGGTGCGGTTGTCATAGGGATCGCAAGTTAAATAAGAGGTACCCAACATATTGCAATAGATGTACAGTCCATCACCCCGGATCCGAAAACCCAAGGTCAAAATGGACGTTGGCTTAGCGCTTTAGGTGACGAAAATGATCTTATTGCCGCGCAATAAATCAAGACAGCATAATTCTCCCCTCACCCTGTCCGATAGATTCATCCCGCAGTGCCAGTCCAGTAGTGACCCGCGGCATAAGCTCAACACCAGGGCCTCCGAGTGTTCGTGTGAACACGTACTCGTGCCCGGCCCAATACGCAACGAAATATGCCAGCGCCGCGAGCGCCGAAAACATCTCTGCTATCTCGACGCACTGCGATGCGCGGAACCACCATCCCAGCGCGAAGACCTGTCCCGGGCGAAGAAACCAGAGAGGCGATATAGTGCAGGTATAAGGCGGGTCGAAGGGTCTTCCGCGGCCCCCGCCAGCGAGGGAGAACGTATATGCCGTGTAGAAGAGTGCGCGGGAACGACAAGAGTAGAAGTCTTCCGGTTCGCCTCTGACAAGCATGGAGCCAGCCATAGTGAAGAAAAGCGTTAACCCTATAAAACTGGCGAAAAACACCGCAACAGCCGCCGACCCATCTCTTTGGGCAAGACCTGGCGTAGAGAATATGAAGTCGATCACCGTACGGGCATAGCACCAAAACAAACTGATGCCAAAGGACACGCGCCAGCGGCGGGAGCTAGGAGGAGTCTCCATTGAAAATGGACAGAGCGGGAAGAAACTGGAGAACGCTTAGGAATGGTTCCAAAAAGGGTGATGGGATACCTAGTGCAGAGAGAACTTCCTAGGTTAGTAGACATACATCATATCCAATAATCTAACCGCTATTTTGTATTTTCGGAAGTCCTTGTTAGAATCATCGTATGCGGCGATCCAAACGACTCTAATCAATATGAAAGAGATGGCTGATAGAACACCGAACCTGGGAGGATGAGTTGAGTAAGAGTGTCACATAATATCGTCAATAGCTGTGTAAGATGGTAGTTACCATTGCGCGTAGACAGCTATAGACTTGCTCAGTAACGAGCCCTAATTTATTTACATAGTTATTGCTTGTTCAAAACTTACTAGCATTCCGTAACGCAGCATCTCTCCTGATATTGGAAAATATATTCATCTTGTACAGATAAGATAGATTAAGTCTTACTGCCTTGGGATGAATTTGAAGTCGTCTCTTCGATGAGCAAGAAGCTGAGGTTGGAGATGAAAGCTATGAAAGTCGTCTTTTCCCCTGCTATGTGACATGTCAACCTAATCCAAGGATTAGCATCCATCCAGCATCAAATAAAACCCCGCCGTACCAAAGAAGTTAGATACCCGTAAGGCAGATTCCTAGCTGAACACAAGCGCAGATTAAACGTGAGTGGCTTTGAGACATTATAGCCTATAGGAAGGCGTCTCATGTAGGAATAATATAAATAGATCAGATATATCAGAAATAGTAGTGTGGGCTGTAAAATCTACTTCTTCAAGTACCTTAGGGTATTCCAATCGGATGCTATCGACATTATCATTTATGAAGGCGGGATAGAGAAGTATCGGCTTGACTTGATAGATATTTGTGTCGAGCGCGATACGATGGCAAACCAACAGGTTTACCAATACCTTCCGGCAGGGTCTATACGTTTATTATCAATTGTCCCAGGGTTTGCATCCGAAGCCATCAACTGTAGTCTAGTCGTAGTCGCCGATGTAGAACAGGCGCCGACGTTTGATGCGATATCATACGTCTGGGGTACCGAGCTATCCGAAGAACCCATCATGTGCAATGGCCAGAGGATGACAGTCACAAAGAACTTGATCGAGGCCATGAGTTATCTCCGTCCGCTTCCACGTTGGGAGTCGGTCATCACTTGGCCAGAAAATCACCCTCTTCATTCGAGTCGCAACGTTTGGCGAGAGTTTGCTTCTAACCGGCAAGAAGAGCGAGAGCATTCCGACTTTCAGCAGGTGAGGCATCTCGTTCTGGTTGGGAATTAATCACGTTCGAATCGTAATAATCTGGCACAGGAAAGGCCTATCTGGATCGATGCGCTCTGCATCAACCAAAAGGATAATGCCGAGAAGTCGCTCCATGTGAAGTCGATAGACAGAGTCTATGCCAACGCCCATACGGTCAAGATATGGCTAGGTAAATTACCAAATACCGCACATCCGACTAATCGGCCACCTCCGGAATTGCAACTACTAAGAGGGGTACCCGTGTTCTTAACGCAGCGGAGCAAGCCCATCGGTCAGCGCGGGAAGATGCCGGTCGTCCTCACGATGATCGCACAGGCATTGAGGAACGTCCAGGCCGGAGAGACTTACCCTACGGCATCAAAATCTGCTGCAGATGCCGTCTACCGAAATTTAGTGCACGGCTTTCCTAACGCGTCGGCTGAGGATTGGCAGTGCCTCCGCGAGTTCTTCGACAACCTATGGTTCCAACGTGTTTGGGTTGTGCAGGAGGTCGTTCTAGCGCCACGAGCGATAGCTATCTTAGGAGACTGGGAGGTTCAATGGACAGCCTTGGGGCAAGCGGCCACGTGGTTTCAGACACATGGCTTTGCGTTGCCCACTAACGTTGAATTTAAGGGAGAGCTCGGAGACCTTCTGCCAATATCCGAAGTAGCCGCGATGTGGCATATGCATATGACGCCGGGGAAGAGACGGCCCTTGCTTCAGATGCTACGGGACCTTCGAGGGAGGAAAGCAACTCTCAAAGAAGACAAGATATATGCAACCTACAGTTTAGCAGAAGAGACTGCAAATACAGACAAGCTTGACCCGCTAATCGAACCAGTCTACGGTAATCCCATCAATGAAGTTTATCAGAATGTGATTCGCTTCCTCGTGATAGAACACGGGGAGCTTTCTGCATTATCTCATGCCGGTGGAATCCAAGGGTTGAAAACCACAGCGTGGCCATCTTGGGTACCTGACTGGAGTCAGCCAAAAGCATGCGTTGAGTTGGTTAGCCATAACCAGGATAATCCACCATACAACGCAAACAGTAACGAACATCTGACTATTGGCGATTCTACCGACCCAGGATGCCTTTCCGTCAAGGGAATCAGGGTTCCCCTAGGTGGAATAAGAGTCTACGGGGATAAACTTGTAAGCTACGGATTTCGACACAAGACGTATAAAGAAGAACGTGATTTCGTTGGGGCGGCCTGGAGTTTGATAGCACATTGGGCCGACAAGGTGAATAATCCGGAAGAGATGAGGCCAGATATGTATCGGCCAAAGAATATACCACACACATTTGTTTCAACGCTCACGGCAGGTCTCAGCGATGAAAAACAGCCGATCAACGAAGACCCTGGCTTCCTCGATGATGCAGCACAATGGCTACTTCAGCAGTTTGGGAAGCGAATACCAGTCTCAGGAATCGGTCAAAAATGGAATTGGTCAGATACTCTTTGGAAGTCCTCGAGTTCGATCCGGTTCCACGAGGCCTTTACAAGGGTTTGTTTGCATAGACGATTTTTCGTCACGGCAGGAAATTTGATGGGGATAGGTCCCGAAACAATAGAAAGGGATGATATTGTCGTGATCCTATTTGGTGGTAAGGTGCCTTATGTAGTCCGAGAGCTCGGCGAGGGCAAATATTGTTTCATCGGGGAGTGTTATGTCCCCGGTTTGATGGCCGGGGAGGCTGTTGAGCAATGGAAGACGAGCGAAAGCCAAGCGCAGTTTTTCAATCTTGTGTAGGGAACTCTTAGCAGCCCGTTAGATGCTCTTGGTAACCCCCGCTCTTCGTATTCGTTCAAGTAGGTATACCAACTCGGATTCCACGATGCAATATCTCAAGTCTATCGAGAAGGATCGGTTTCACCGCTTAGAAATGCTTATCTTAACACATCGTTTCTAGATGAGAGGCTTCCTTTAGTAAAATACGCGGAACTCCTCTGGGTTAGGATGTATTTCTCAAAGTGTGAGAGTACCTTGTGTATCTAAGGTAAGGTAAGACAACTACCCCGATACGCTCATAACTGACAGGTCATGATTATATACATACCTGGTGCCAAATGTGATACAAGATGTATGTATGCCATCATTCAGCATGAATAAGATCCGACGGAAGCCTCGGGTCTGGACCGTACGCATTGGTTTATTAGGAGAAGGGGTGTGTTAGTATATGTGCGATATAGATCCATGATAGGTAGATCTATAAAGACAAGATAAACAACAACTTGTTCGATTTTATGTATACACTGATGGGTGTAGGTGTAATAAGCAACTCTGCGGCGTGTACCTATTGCAGATTTTCTTTTTTCTTTTTTTTTTTAATTATATTATGTATGAGGTACCTAACCTAATGTGTGAAAAGTTGACTCAATGTCGTGACCTTATCAACCTTTTTTGAAAAGGGCTTAACTGAAGGTTGTTAATTACCTATGTACAATTGAATAATGAGTTGTGCAATATACCTATGCTCACATAGCAGGTACCGATCCGCTATCCGGTCCTTGGAGGAGTACATAACCGACCAGCCGAGATTTGCATAAATACCTGTACATAACTCCGAGATAACTTTCAGGTAGGTACGCCTCCCACGCGTCTATGTACTGTAACACCAGCCAGCTAACCAATCTAACCAATCTAACCAATTTCAGAGTCCATTGACCCATCATCTTAGGTGAGCTCACCCAATAATCCCCACAGCATCCTGATAAATGAATTAGGGATTCCCTGATTCGCTAGAACCTGATAGGATTCGGGCGGCCGTGTACTCCGCAGACCGCTAGCTCCGAAATTTCTAGGGAAGAAGACAGTTCAACTTAAAGAAATCAACCACCAATACAATTTCACAAGCCTTCTTATCCCCCAACTTTCCAAAGTTCCTCTCAACAATCCCCGAACTCCGTTCCCGGGTGTGCCTTCATCTCGACTCGAAAGTCCAGATCGCATCATTGTGTCTGCATAACAAGTTATTGCTATTGTCATTGCCGATTTTCTTCCTTTATCCTCAAAGATCTAGACAACAAATTCAAAATGGCGGACAAGGAATATACATACCAGGATGTTGCCGAGCACAACACCAAGAAAGATCTTTTTGTTGTTATCCACGATAAGATCTACGATTGTACAAAATTCGTCGACGAACATCCGTAAGTGCTCCAGCGCATTATGCGATTCCCATCGCAATCCCTTCCCACGCCCCAGCAACCCATTGTCGCCGTTCGGACTTAATAGCATGTAAGCTGAGTCGTTTTCATCATAGCGGTGGTGAAGAGGTTATGTTAGATGTCGGTGGCCAAGATGCGACAGAGGCTTTCGAAGATGTCGGCCACAGCGACGAAGCGCGAGAAACCCTAGAGCAACTCCTCGTCGGTACTCTTAAGCGAAATGTGAGAATCCCCTGCTCTTCTCTTTGCTTTAATATACTATACCTCTCCTATTCCGATATGCTGACAGCCTTTGGATATAGCCCGGTGACCCGTCCCCCAAGGCCCAACAGTCCTCCCTTGCGCCTGCTGCTAACACAAGCTCTGCTGGTATGGGAACTGCTTTATACGCTATTATCTTCATTGGAGGTATACTCGGTTTCGGTGCTTTCCAATACTTCCAGTCGCAGCAAGGCAAGGAGGCTTAGACGGATTCGTATATTCGGCAGGAAATGTTTGGGAGATTAAGAGCGTACAGCATGATTCAAGCGATGGACGATCGATATCCTCTCGGCAATGTATTTGATGAATACCTAATAGATCGGGCTATTTGGTTCTTCATAACGTATTAATCCATGTCCCATCATCATCAGACTACTTGGTTAATTGAGAGCCAGGAAGTCAGGTGAAGAAATGGTTATTCAACTTTAGTAGAGCTGGCTAGCTAGGAGATAGTGGTCACTTTAATAAGAGGCAGTTTTAATAAACCCGATGATTTAATTATTGGCCACACGTGCTTAGTACATTTTCCAATAATACTATTTTCAGCATTTAATGCCCTGAGTTTACGAAAGGTTTGTTGTATCGAACTTTTTTATTTTTTATTTTTTTATTTTTTATAAAAGTCGTGTCCGGATTAAGCAATAGGGTTGTCTTATTTCTTTCTTTTATATTTACCTATATATAGGTATGTATATCGCAATTGTGGACGCCACAACCTATCAATAATTATTGCCGCCCAACTGGTATCCTGCAAAAATTAACGAAACGCTTTTATTGCAAAGAATACCCCCTCCCCCCCGAGTAACTCCTCGTAACCCCTCGCAACTTAAAATGCCCCCCAAGTTTAAAAAGCGACAACATATAAACTCACCTAATACTACTAGCCCTCCCTCGAAAAGGTTTAAAATGTCGCCTTCTTGCGAAGATTCAAAAGCATCCCAAAGAATCCCTACCATACCCCATATACCATCACTTACCACCGAACAGTCCAATTTCATCTCTCGGAACAATCAAAAATTAACTGCTTGGCTTGATATTGACGTCCCGAACTGACCAATTAAAGCCGCGACTTCACCATCTACCGAGTCGGAACTTATAATGGATCCAACTGCAATAGTTTCGAGCAAAGCCTCAACTATGGCTAAAATGTTGACAAACCCGCACTTTCGAACCGCAACTCTCCCCAACAACCAAGTAAGGTTGCTACCTCTTACAGAAAAGGTTCCGAAATGGGTCGAAAACGAGCTCGACAAAAGTAAAAAGATCGAAACTGATGATATTCCTGACAATTTCCAAGCCATGTGTGATAAATATGGTGATTATGTTATGAAGAGCGCGTATGAATCGGACTTTTTAAAACTTCGTTTTAGATCTCGAACGTTGCAACGACTGGGCCGACGTTACCCCCAAGGCTTCCGACCTGATAATAGCTTTTCTCGGCGGACAATCGTTCCAAAATAAGATTCTACCTGCAGCAATCCCCAACAATACGTTACTATGTATATAAACCAACCCCCGATTCTATTTCCGGGTATGACGTCGACAATATACCTTTTTTACTCCAACATATCAACAATGAGAATTAACTATACCATGTTTAAAGCCATGTCTAGTAGCTCTATTAGTTTTTTGTACTTAATTATAGAAGGAAAAGGCCATAAAGGCTATTTCATGATAACCGAAAACCAAGCTTTTGTCAGTGGTCGCATAATATTGGACATGACCTGGCCAGTCCTCGGGGACCAAGATGTGATCTTTCTTTTCTCCACGATGCCATACCTAGCGCACATGTTCGTCATGTGGAGAGACGTACAGACAAAAGATAAAGATGGGGAAGATATACCTCGTTGTCCTACTTACAACATAAAACTTATTGACAATTTATACCTAGTTACTCGACATCGAAGGCTTAACAAAGCTTCGAACATCTATTTGCCGCATCCAACGCTGGACAAAAGACGATAGATTGCCTCAGATCATGGAAGGCCTTGAAAAGTGGGAAGAAGAAGGCCGACCTTGGCACAAGTTTCAACCACTTGGACGTTGATGTGTAAAAGGATGTTGTATTCGTAAAGATTATTATACCTCACTTCTAACTCAAGTATTGCATTGAATTTACGAAGGATTTATTGTGTCGAATTCTTTTCTATGGGAGTTTGTCCCAATTAAGGAAAGAGTGGCCGTTTTTGGACTAGCGAATACTGAAAATGTGATTTTGCCGGTGCCTTTACAGGGGTATTGATTGGATGCATCCTGGAGGAAGTGGAGTTTAGTTGAATTTTAGGGAGAACGCATTTCAAATTTCTGGTCTGGGGTCACCTGAGATAATACTAATAATGATTAATCTGACATAATTTTTAGGTACTTCGCTTTGTTTTCCATTCCTTCTTCTTTCTTCATCCGTCTCTTGACGAGATCGCTTTCACCAACCAGCCTTCTAGTCGCCATATCACATACATCGCAGGAATCTATTTCAACCCGCCCATCATGTCGCCTTCCAAACCTGCCAACGGCATAAAAAGGCCAGCACCTGCCTCATCGGCCGCATCTCCATCCGGCGCGAATACGAGCAAGACCGACAGCAAGCGTCAGAAACGCGACGGGAATACTACTACGACGAATCATGCCTCGACCCCAACGCCCGCTGCCGTTGCTGCTGCCGCTGCTGCGAAAGACTTCGGCGAACACAGTAATACACATCTTTCATTCGCTGTCGAATTCCTCAAAGAAAAGCGCAGTCCTAGACCTCTACAAGAGATCTTAGATCACCTGACGCTGCAGCACCTCCCCGAGGATCAACAACGCGCGTTCGTTCATAGTCTAAAAACCCATTCGCGTATCCTGTTCAGCCCAGCCCCGAAATCCAAAGCTAGTTCAAGCCAGCAACCCGAATGGCGCACCGGTACATACGAGTACAGAGCCAAATTTCCCGGTGTAGTTTCCAAGGTAAAACTACTAGAATATTTGCAACAGAGGAAGGACCAAGGAGGCATTTCAATCAAGGATATCAAAGATGGCTGGCCGGACTGCGATACTGCTATTGAAGAGCTGGAGCGGGAACACAAGGTCATGGGTATACGAACCAGAAAGGACACCCACGCACGAATTATCTGGCCCGATACTCCAGATCTGCATCACGATGTAGACCCGGAATTTCGAGTAATGTGGTTCCAAGAGGCCCTACCCTCTGTTGATGAAATGCCTAGGAAGCTGAAGGCACTGGGTCAAAAGGCCACAAGCGAGGTGAAGAACATAAACCTCGGCCAGAAGGCCCCACCGAAGCGGAAGAAGGCTTCTCGTGTTCAGAAGAAATTCGAGAATGAGCATATGAGGAACATCTTCGAGCAGCACAAGCGCAAGTGACCTCAGCCCAAGTCATCCAGTAAGAAATTTTAGGGTGTGTCCGTTAGTGAGAACGTTGGCATTGCATTAGGGTGTTTCTACGGTATATTCCCGAAATCAAGAAACGGAAAGGGGGGAAGCGAGCATTTACGGCGTTCGGTTGGTCTTATCTGATGAGGTGTTTCGGAACAAAAAGGGAAGGGTAATTTTGCCCTATATATACCTAGGTAATCATGGATATACGCATGCTCGGTAATAGGTATTAATGTGCGACGAGGACTTTCCGAATAAGCGACATGTCCCGCTGCATTATTCCCGTAAAAAGGTATAGGTATGAAGTAAACTTAAGACTAAGTGGTTTTGCCAATGCTGTCCTCTATTGAGACGTGACTTGGATATGGGTTTGCCAAAAAGCTATATCAAGAAAATCAGCTTTATAAAAACATAATTTGCTTTAAAAACCTGACTGGTCGGGTTATGATTTTAGTAAACTATCTAAAGTTATCATAAAATGCCATCTTCATTCTCTCCATGTTTTTGATTCGCTCCCTTTTTTATCTGGCCAAAATTATATCATCCAAGCCTTGATATTGGAAGAGCATCATACAAAATATCCGAAGAAACTTCACAACACCGAAAGTCTTATTAAGGTGCCTACAGCGCACATCTGGGGGTTACACGACAACAAAGCTCTAACTGGCAGTGAGGCCCTGAGTCGCATGTGTAACCCTAACAATTATATGAAGTTTGTTCATGATGGAGGGCATGAAATACCACAAAGTAGCCATCTGACTGGGGCTGTTCACATTGTTAGAAGGGTTGCACGCCTTAGTAGGCTATGCTAAGCCGGACCTACAGTTTAATTTAAGAACCAACATGCAGACATAGACAAAGGCTTGGGTACAAATCAGATATATGGAAATGGTCCCCCATTTGTACCTACCTACACGTGTAGGTCACTACCTCTTGGTACGTAGGAACATACCTATACGTATCCCTAGGTAGCCCCTAAAGTTGGATAAATATATATATATATATACATCAAACCGGCTCAACCTCTATTCTTGCACGCTGGTAAACTTCTTTCAAACACCACACACCCACAGTCTGATAATAATGGCGCAATTTCGAATCGATGGCTTTGCGATCGTTGTAGGAGTATGTGCCACAATATCTTACCCTAAGATCATGTATCCTAACCTCATGTAGGCAGCAGGCGGCATTGGACGAGAGGTTGTCTTAACGTTTGCTGAAGCTGGCGTGAAGGGTATCTTGCTAGCCGATATCAACTCTGAAGGCGTCGCTCAAGTCGCGGATCAAAGCAAGGCTTTGGCATCAAACCCCAAATATCGGTGTATTTCAACCGTAGTCGACGTTGTAGATGTTGCGTCTGTGGACGCTCTAGTCAATCTTGCCAAGACTGAATTCGACAGAGTTGACTACTGCGTTAACGCATTCGGCGTGAGATAACCTGTAAAAGAAGTCCTTGGAAAGAGGTCCTGAGCTGCAGAGCTGAACTAATCTATAAACGATTCAGGTCGACGTTGCTTCTTACGTTTCATTTGAGGATACTGACCCCGACGACTATGACAGAGTCCTCGGAATCAACACAAAGGGCGTGTTCCTTGTTACGCGCGCTGTGGCCAAAATCATGCAGTCGCAGGAACCTGTCTCGGTTGATCTGGGAAGACATGGACGGCGAGATGTCGGCCGTGGATCTATTGTCAATGTTTCTTCGGCTATGGCCCTTGTTGCCGTACCCGCGAAAGCCCCGTACACTACGTCCAAACACGCAGTTACGGGTATCACAAAGGCTGCAGGTTCGTAAACCACAAAAGATGTCTTCCGCAGCTTTAACTGCTTATAAGAACAGTGATGGATTTCAAATCTGCAGGCATCAGGGTCAACCAAGTATGTCCTATATGGGTCAAGACGCCGATGTTCGAAGAAGAATGCCGGAGAATCCCCGAGACGCCACAGATAATCGAGAAACTATCCCCTCTCAAGCGAGCCATCGAGCCAGATGAAGTCGCCTCGGCCTGCTTGTACCTTTGTAGCCCTACTGCTGTTTATCTAAACGGGATTACCTTAACCATGGATTCAGGGCTCACTGCAGGACCTATGATTGGTTGAAGGCATCATTTAGATCACCAGAACCATTCACGGAAGAGAGAGGGAAAGAGAGGGATTATGAATTGGTATCATTCGTTAGGAGGTTGATGTTGCTGTAGTCTATAAGTACGATACGTAGGTAGGTAACTCATTAGGTACATATATTCATGATCTAGCTACAATAAATCACCCTTATTGACCAGGTAGGCAGAGACTTAAGTCAGTATTGCTATCTTGCATCCATTAATGTATGGTTTGTTTTTTAAAGGTTTTTTCTAAATAGTTAAATGTTAACATGAAGTTTCTTTATAGCTTTTTATACTGCATCCAGTTTTTACCCTGGCTTTGTTCAAGTATGTTAGCCTGCATTTCAACAAAGATTGCTTTTGCAATCCCATAAAAACTAATCTGATTTCTCTAAGTCATGGACTTAAGCTATTCTTAGCTTTGCTCTTCCTTTGAAATTCTTCATTAATTCTTGCCTTTGTAATTATCAGCTTCTAGCATCACTCGTCTTTGATATACGCATTTGAACCCGTGCTTATGTCTACCCAACAAAACGTATCAATGCCGACTAATATGGAAGCTGACGATCGTGGTCCCGGCCTCCGAAGTTTCGTAATTGTGATGTTGATATTGACAGTCGTAGCAATCACGCTGCGTTTTTGGTCCCGAAGTCTATCAACATCACATAAATTACGTTTCTGGTGGGACGACTGGATAGCTCTGACAGCTGTGGTATGTTATCCATATGAAATGTCGCATCACCCACGTGGCTCATAGGGTTGGTATAGTGAAAATGCCCTCAAACTGACAAAATGTGCAGCCTTTCGTGGTCGTCGAATTTGGACTTATTTTCTACATGCTGAGCTTAGGACTCGGCCGCCACATGAACACCCTGCCGACTGAGAATGTTGCGAAGTCTTTGCTGGTCATATATATCATATACTTTGTTTATGGCATGGGTTTATTCCTGACGAAAGAGTTTGCACTCTTGCTACTTGGCCGCGTTTTCACCCGAAAAGTGCACGGAACTTGGTTCAATTATTGCCTTTGGATTGCTCATGCGCTCAATATTTTCCTGGCTGCTCGGTATTATCTTTGGCACCGTTTTTATGTGCGATCCAGTTGCGAAGAACTATATACCAGACATGGATGGACGTTGCGTTGATACCGGAGCGCTCTGGATAGGAAGTGCAGTCCCTAGCGTGCTAATAGATTTGTTCATCTTAGTTCTGCCTCTACCCAAGATATGGGGTCTTCAGATGAGCCTTGCCAAGAGGAGTGGCATTACTCTGGTATTCATGTTGGGATACTGGTAGGCTAACGTGTACATGAAGAAAAAGAAAAGCACACTTAGATAAGGCTAACATTCTCTCAATAGCGTCATCATCGTATCTCTTGGTCGTCTCATTACTGTGATCAAATCCGCCGACTCCCTAGCAACAGACCTTACCTGTGAGCTAGCCCACTATACTGACAATGGCATTCATCCCCCATTAGCTTCCATAAATACTTTTCTTATTTGCAGTGGAAGTTCACTGATCCTCTGAAAGATGAAGGTGTGCCGGCGCTTTATTGACTGTGCGCCGAATCCCCTATTACGCTTATTAGCATCTGTTTACCTACTATGATTCTCTTGGTCGCCACCTAGTACTCAACTACGTTTCCCCCCTGTCGAACAAAGTCTCTCCTTTGATAAGTTCTCATAAGTTCTCGGGAAAGCGGTAGCAGACTACGGAGCCACACCGGAGACATACAAAGTAGCCGAAGCTTTTGCTTAACAGATACTAGGGGTGACGAAAGACATGCCAACTCCGCTGGAGGGGGGAGTATGAATTCTACAGAAAGTAGCTGGCAGATCCTCCACCTTACACCAATATAAGATTATAAGGTTTACGTAAAAGGCGGCAAAGATGGTTATGAAAGTTGTTTTGATTTGATATTAAACCAGTCAATTTATATAAGCAAGACTGTGGAAATAAGTGTTTAAAACGTGTAAAAAGAATTTGAAAAAAAAACCCCTTTAAATATTTTTGTTTATATTAAATTTAAATAAATATGAAAAACCAAAGTAATAACGGGAATTAATAATGTTAATGGCGGGCATTCCAAAGAGATATTTTAAAGGTCCGTGTAAGTATTTAATTTACCCACTTGACATATCTTAAACGTAAGCTGGAAGGAGTTGCTTGCGATTGGTTAGTTACAGGTTCTAAACTACCAGAATCATATCATATCCTTGAAAAGACATGCAAACCAAACTTGGAAGATCTTACAGGTAACTAGCCACGCTATATAAGCAATCGTGGCTCCAATAGGTATCACAGGGTTGTCAGCAAATCCTTCGATCTATTAGTTTAATCCACTTCAATGGACTGCGTCAATGATGAAGGTCATCTATTGGTAAAGACGCGAGCTTGTTGAGCAACGAGGCGAAGCAACAGCAGATAGTCAACACTGGTGGTCGTTGATGACTCGAATATAGTTGCCTGGTTGGTAACTTATTCTAGTTACGTCTATCCAATCAAGATTATGGACACCTTTTTTCTCTGGATGGGCTGATGCAGTTATGGAAAGTCGCTGATATCATGTCGCTCCTAGCCGCTTTTGTGAGTTATTATATAACCGCAATATCCTGTAGCCAACCCAATCTTCTAATTGTAGGATCTAGCTTGCTTTTTATTGGTGCTATAGGCTCCAATAAAGATAGTAAATTGAACACCTTCATTTTAGGACCTTTGATTTGTAGTGCTGTTCCATGCTATGCCTTTTGCCAGGTATTCTTCTATCACCAACTCAAATTCCTCTCATACTAGAGCTAATCGGACCGATGGACTATAACATTTGAATATTCCGGGAGGGATTATAGGTTTATTGATTGGATTACTCGTAGTAATCGGCATGGTAGGTTTGTAGTATACTAGTAGTTGGCTGAATCACTTGCGCGACGTTTCGTCCAACATTCTATTGAGAGATGCTAATTATCAACTTTCAAGCCAATTAGCCCTATCCTGTTGTATGTTTCTGTAACGAGCTGGGAACATTCGTAGTCGTCATGCGGGCCCTCGATTTCGGCGCTTTATGTGCGAGAATGTGATGATCTAGTACTATATCGGTCGTATTAGGTAGTATGAATTTCGACGATTGAGAGAAACCAATACTGCTATCCTTTGATTAGCAGTTGTAGTTTCGCGCAGGCAACTCTGTGTCTGACCGGGCACTAATCTAACCTAACCTAGATCACTTACCATTGAACTATCATTAGAATAGCCGTCCAATGCAACGTCAAAGTTGTTTGCTCTCCGTTCCAGCCAAGACTCAATACTGGTAGATAGATCGTTCACTAGCTCCACATTGGAAAAGAAGCTGATTCTGTTTCCTGAGTCTAGCCTGAGTAGCGCCGATATGGTTATGTCGCATCGCCCCGCGCACCAGTTGATAATGCTTGCGCGATGCTTGGCTCGTGACGTTAGGATGATCCGTGCCGGCGAACAAGAACACGTGTAGTATAGACTGTATAACTAGTCAAACATAACTGTTAGATAATTTGAGAACGTTTGGTAGAGAACATGCCTATTGCAGAGCCCCTATTCTGGAGGTATGGTTGAGTATCGGGACATATGCGATATCTTAGAATAGTAAAAAAATAACATACGCTGTTCCTCCCTATAGCGAGGGAAAGACGCGTATTCAGGAGGACTGGAAGTTCTTTTCAACTATTTGTTGAGAACCGTGTGCCTTTCGTCAATATTTCTAAAGATTGCCCAAATCCGTCAGTTCATTGGTATATGTACATTTTTCGCGAATTCTGCGGTTCGGGGCTCAAGGTAGAATATTATATAGCGCGTAACTATATCGAAGAGATTGCTTATATTAGTATTTGTACACTTGTAGAGTAGCAATTCAAGATTATATGGTACTAAGGACCGTGACACACTGACAGTCGAATATGTTGGTAGTAGATACCATGCCTAGCCCCTCAAGCTTACATAAACCAGTATAGGATGGTTTATAGAGCTGGCATTGTTATTTTGTTTTTGTAGATAGGATGCTTCTAATGGATGAATATGGTAATAAGAGGTCGATCGTCTCCATACCGTATTCCACTAACTTCCAGTGCTTAGGTGTCCTATCTTTTTAGGGTGTAGAGATATTTTCGGTCCTTCAATGAGTGATGAAGGTAGAAAACGATACAATGAGGCTGACAGTATGGTAGCAAAGCTTAGCCTCGTGGCGCTCCAGACGCCGCAGTAGGTAATTTGGAACCCCCTGGGATACACATATAATATCATTTTTCTACACCACCCGTGCAAAATTTACTTGGATTCTTCTGTTTGCAGAAATAAACCCCTAATACTAAAACCCTCACAATCTGCTCAAAGATATAATAAATTTACTCAAGAGACTATGACACTGCGTTAGGAATATCTACTATTGATCGCCTGATTTCTAGGGTCAATAATGGACATGATTTTATCGCGCAGGTAACTTTGTAATACCGGGAGGAACTGTGAATTTGAGACTTAGTGCAACAGAATTCTCGGTGAACTGCTTCACGTTCTTGTTTTGTCTTAATGGCTGTTTTCTATCGGACAGGGGATGTTGCAAACATCCTTTAAGGCACAATAATGTACGAGCATATAACTTTTTTAATGATCAAAATGCCTAATCTAAGTAAGTAAAATGTTTAGTTATGTATTTTCATCATGAATATAAAGACGCTGCTTTTATTGTACGAACCAAAGCAAATATTTGTAGATGCAAATTTTTTTTTTTTCAATAAATGCAAGGTATGTCAAATAGTTGCCATGTATGTCAGGGCCAATCTTCTTCTAAGCAGGAAGTAATAATTCTACGCCGTAGAAGATATTCCAGCTTGGTAAAGCGTGTATCATAAGTTATCGAAACCTACCTTGGTTGCTAGCTGTACGGGAAGCTATCTAGGATATTTGCGACGCTACATTGGGATCCAGTCCTTCTATGGGAAGCCCCTGCCATGCCGACTCGTTCGATATGCCGTTGTTTTGTATTTTGCCTAATCTACGAACTTGTCAACGAATTCAAGGCACCGCTTTGACTTACTAGCGTATCCCTTTAGCTCCTAGGTCAAGGCCCCGTTGGGGGGATGATACCAAAGAGGTGGAGACGACACGGCCAAGCTAACAGCACATCCCAGGATAACGAGCACCTTGCTCCAGGGAGGTTAAAAGACATATCTTGGGAAAATAATGGCGCAGTGCAACCTAAAATCCCACACTAGCGGGTGGTAGTCGATCCGGCTGCTTCGCTCACCTGGTTACGATGAGCCCTAAGAAAACGTGGTTCCCCCCCCCTAAATAAATCATCTAGTCTAGATCAAACAACCCAAGTAGTATCCAGCGGGATCAGTAGTGCATGAAACAAATATCCGTCATTGGGACTAATCATTATCTCAACTTAGCAATATAGGTCTGGCCAATGCCACAATACTCATGAGCCTCGACAGCCTCACAAGTCTTCAACAGGTGCCATTGGAGGTCGTAAATTTGGTTTTTGGTGTTGAAGACACACAGTTTATGGCGCCTCGTTCTCATCTACAATATTCCTACAAAATCTGCAGGCGAGCACAAATATTCCTCAGGCTTGAGACTATTAAGACCAGGCTACCGCTGCGAAATTGCATCTCAGACAGCCTTAGCTCCCGTTAACGATTCAGCTGCCGTCAACTAATGGGCTACCTATTATCAATGGGATCGCAAATTGTTCAGGTCAATAACGGATATGCCGTAAGTGGCACGCAGCCCAGGTTTTGGGGGAAATTGTAGTGACATCCCATGAATCTCAAAGCGCTTTATTCCACACCTCGATGAAGTACTCTTCGGTATTCGTCGGTTATCAAGTTGTACCTGGTGAATATAAGGATGTACTCGACTGTAAATCGGTCAGATGTCATTATTATTGATCCTGACTATTAATGCAGTGACGACCACGGCACGAAACCTACATATGAATTTTACGCCGTAGCTCCCGTAGTGGGTTATGTAGGATGATCATTCGATTACGATGTACAATAAGCGAGTCTCTTTATGAGCTTCCCTTTTAGAATCAACAAGTATACCCTTGGACTGTTTACTTGAAAAAAGATAATACAACCCGTCTTTATTGGAGCCATACGCGATGTGATATAGAAGTCCATGAACAACTATCCCGGTTTCGAAAAGGGTCTTATGTCACTTTGCTGCGGGCGACCAATAATTAGCAGGTCGTCAGGATTCTAGATGAGACGTCCAGAGCAAACTAGGTCTTCAGTAGGTATACATAGCCGTAGGCTCCTGTAGCTAGCTTAGAGTCCCTCGCGGAACAATGAGGTTCTTTCCTTGCTTCTTGCTCCACCTCATGACACAAGTAGCAATCTATAAGCTTAGTAACGTAGTCCTAGAGGGTGACTGGCATCACTATTACGAATGCAGGAGGCCTAGGTGATGAAATGGTGTAGTAGGATCGAAGAGTATTACCCTCAAGATAGGGGGGCTCGCGAGTCTATCTACAAAGTATGGTCTTGATACAATACTATTAGAACGGGTCTACTACTATACACAGTAACAACTCACATTTGACAAGTTGTGCGATATCTATTCCGGATTTGGATGGCTTGCAGCAATAGGCTCAACGTTTATAGTTACCTTAAAGGTGGAGGAGTCGAGAAAAGCGATCACGATCTCGAAGTGCCACCGCATCCATTCCAAGCCTTGAATTCTTAGGGTCGCTCTCGGTATGTACGGTGTCAAACCTTTACCCTCTAATGGTGGGCTGTTGATTTCTCTTGAGTAGTTTGTTAAGACGCCATGGATTAATGGTGTTGCGCCTTATAATACTAATAGGACATATTTATCGATAGACTTCATCGGTATAATATCCTATGAAACATGAATCTTAAACACATCATGACAGCATATATACCCTCTCAAGATGGTATACGGCATTGGCTTTTTATTGATATACATAGGATAAGGTATATAATGTATCTATATCGTCGTTTC